CTTAATATAAAAGACAAAAAACCAAAGGCTCTTGCTGTCAACCCTGCCATGGTCTGAGGAGAACAGAGGAAGAGCGACACGGTACTGGAGTTGTCCAGAAGATCTGGCATCACCTCCAAGTGTGAAAGAGAACATAACAAAACACACATAACGTCTTTCATATGCTATTTTCATAATTGCCAGAAAGAGGAAAATAGCAGCATTTTGTAGAGCTTTTTTCCAGCAGCACCAAGGAGAGGAAATGTCAGGGAGGCAGGCGGAGCCGTGCCTTCCTCCAGGACCTGGCCATGCCAGCCGGCGGTTCTGTGCCATGGCACGCTCCTCCCCGCGGAGCACGCGTCGCAGGCTCGATAAAGGCCCCTCACGTCACAGCACGGGGAAGCAGAGACAACCGCGGCCTCAGACTGCAACGGGGAATTTGGACTGTCAGAAAAAAAACACGAACGCTTCGAAAACAGGAACCTGCCCACATGACTGGGGCCAACACCCCGCTCCAGCACAAAACCACACGAGGCCGAACGCTCGCAGACGATCCGGATTGCTGCCTCGGCCAGAGGCACCGCGCTGGGGCATCGGCCTCAGCCGTAACGGGGAAAGACGCAGGCTCCCCGCCACAGGGTGTGTGCTGCCAGACTGGTTCTGTCCGCCGCCCTTCAATCCCAGCTGCAGACCTACCCGGCTGAGCTCATCCCGACATCGCGGAGCCCGGAGCTCCCCTTCCACCGGCCCCGAGCCCCAGCATCCGTCCCATCCGCTCCTCCGACCCCTCCGTGGAGGAAAAGGCACCCACCTCAGCCCTCACCTTCTTTAAAGTCAGTTTGATCTCTTTGTGGGCGCTGAAGCCCCCCTGCTGCGACTGGGGGGCTGAGGGCTGCTGCGTCTGGAGGAGCTGCTGTGATTTGCTCCCCGGGGTGGGCTTGGCCGACTTCAGGAGCTGAGCGGGCACATCCCGTTTCCGCTTTTCCTCTTTAGTGCTATCTTCTTTTTTTGACTTTCCTGCGGAAATCAGAGAGCAGAGGTAGCGATTGGCGACAAACTCCCTTCGCCTGCCGTGCTTTTGGAGGGCAGGGCGAGAGGATGCTGCTCCAGGGGCTGAAAAAGCCCACACCAGTTAGCACAGCGCGTAGCCCCAAGCTTCAAAGATTCAGGAAACCAGAATTTCCACCATGAGAACGCGTAACGTAAAAGCCAGCCAACCAAAGGCTCTTGCTGTCAACCCTGCCATGGTCTGAAGAGAACAGAGGAAGAGTGACACGATACGGGAGTCATCCAGAAGACCTGGCATCACCTCCCAGGTGTGAAAGAGGTGAGAGGAGGCATCAGGCAGAACTCCCAGGCAGGAGCAGGCAACTTTGCAGCCAGAGATGCAGGATGGAAGGATGTGAATGTCTATTTGCTCCACAGCCTCCCTTCTCCACAGCCTCACCCTCCTCAGGCGAAGCCTCTGAGCTCCTCTGATCTACGACTACCTCTGCTCAACAGTTTTCCTGGAGCCCACAGCATCACCAAGCAAGCCGCATTCGGATCTCTGCTCCTCCCCTCTTTTCCCAGGACCCCTTGGAGAAGAAAACACCAAACCAGGTACCTCTACCTTTCTTCTGCTGCGCTGGGGTTGGGGATCGGGAGCTGGCTGAGGAAACAGGACTGGCCAAGTCCGCGTACATGTCTTCGGAGTCGGCGCTGCGTACGGAGCTGCTGCTAGAGGAGGCACTAGAGACAGAAGAAACGCTGCTCACGCTCAGGGACCTGGAAAGAGCCAACAGCCCGTTACAGTCACGAAGGCAACAAGAACCAGGCAGCGATGAGATGGACACCTTGGTTTTAACTCTCCTGAGTGGCTGGGATGTCAGAAAGCTGCTAAGGCAGGCAATAACCAGGGAGAGATAAAGGCTGCGTCGCCTGGGGTGCAGACGGTACGAAAAATCCCAAATATGTTAGATGCAAGTCTAGAAAATACTGTTTATTTATAAACAGGATTAAGGCAACATGTAAACAGGCCACTGTTTCCTCAGGTAAACAAAAAGTGAAAGCAGGACGTGTGCTATCAGGTACAGGCCAGTGTTACGGCTCAGGTCAGGCGTTCCCTGGCAATGTTTTTGTTGCTTGGCACACATCTGCTCATGGAGGCCGTAAGAGCCCCAAGTCACAGAATCACAGAATGGTAGGGGTTGGAAGGGCCCTCTGGGGGTCACCCCGCCCCACCCCCTGCCCAAGCAGGGTCACCCAGAGC